TGTAAATAATAGAAGATTACTGTGTATATATGTGTGTTATGTTTTGTTTTGTTTTGTTTTGTTGGTTTAAATAATAATTAAAAAAAATAAATAATTCAGTATATCACAAGAGAGTGAATAATATCTATGCTAAATTTTAGTTAAATATAAAATGAATCAGATCCTGGTTTCAATCAATACTTCTTGGAGTTTCTCTCCCTAAAACATTCAGAGTAAGTTGAACATCCCTGGTTTAGAAGATTCCATCCCAGAAGTCAAGCTGAGAGCAGAAAATGTTTTCAGGTATGAAGAGCGATTACCAAGGCATATCAAGTGAACTTGCTGAAGGTTGAAATTTCAATTCAGTCTTAGTAGATTCATAATGTACAGTGGTTTTTTTCAAACCTACACAATCTACATGATGGCAGCCAAACTTTGCTGATACTCAGGGATAGGTAACTCAGTTCCTCACAAATCTTCACCTAGCCTGGTAAGCCCGCTAATTAGTTGATGTTAATTACAGCACTGCATTTCTGTCTTAACAGAAGTGTGTGATTGGAACATACTTAACAGCACCTATATCCAAATGGTTGATGTCCAACTCTGCCAGACAATGGGTATCCTCTCTGGCACATTGTATTCCACTCCTGTGCACTGGTTAGCAGTGCTTAGCCCCACTTTAGAAGATAACACACTCTGGCTCAGCTTTGGTCAAGGATGCTGAACAACAAGGCCCTCCCTATTCACCAGGACAATGCACAGCCATCACAAGACTGAAACCCCCATTGACCAGCATGGAAGATAGCTATTCGCTTAACATCTATCCAATTTAACCCTGAGAATGCCTGGAGAGAGAGGAATGGTTCAAGGTACCCTCTACCAAATTACCTGGTTTTGACCTGCCTTGCTCTGTCTCAACAAAATTGAATCGAATTAGGTATGATACTAGAAGAAGTGCCTCTATCCTGTATCAGTGCGTATGGGAAGATTTCCTTTGTTGCAATTGTGGTGCTCATATGCAAACTATTAATCATATTGTGCAAGCTTGCCCATGATGTGGATTCTCTGGTTCCCTAGAACAAGGCTTTTCAACCGGTGGTACACGTACCACTTGTGGTGCTTTGCCACATGGCAGGTGGTACGTGACTGCTAGCCAAGTGTAGCAGGGGAGGGGAATGAGCCAAAGCAAGCCAAGCCTGAGGGAGAGGCAGCTGCAGCACTGTTTGGGCTCAGCAGAAGCCCCAGGAGCCTGCAGGGCTCCAGCTGATTGGCTCCAACTGATTGGCGCTTCCAGAAGCAGCTCGGAGCTGAAGGTGAACTGAAGAAAAGGGGGGGAAGAGAGGAGAGGCTATAAAAGAACGTGGTTTGGGTGGGGGAAGGGGAAAAAACAACAGGAAAGGTTTAATCCCTTTAAACAAATGTAATTAGTTTTACCCCCTTTAATTGAGTCTGTCTGTGGCTTTTAGAAAGTTTTCTTTGAAGGTAAACAGGCTTAATTTAAAGCTAAAGCTTTTCGCAATTGCCGGAGCCTTTCAGTCTAATAATAATAACAACAACAACAACAACAACAACAACAATAATAATAAAGTTGGAAGGGACCTGGAGGTCATCTAGTCCAACCCCCTGCTCAGGCAGGAAACCCTATACCATTTCAGACAAATGGCTGTCCAGTCCCTTCTTAAAAACTTCCAGTGTTGGAACATTCACCGCTTCTGGAGGCAGGTTGTTCCACTGGTTAATTGTTCTAACTGTCAGGAAGTTTCTCCTTAGTTCTAGGTTGCTTCTCTCTTTGATTAGTTTCCAACATTTCCAACATTGTGACACATGACACGCCTGAGGCAGCTTAAAGAGAAAAAAACGGAGTTTGTATTTCCTTATTTTCTTGCTTTGCACTTGATTCCTGTGTCTTTAAGGGTACAGGGAAGGGATTGGGGGGTGCATTCTTACTACACTGTGGAAGAGCTCAGAAGGGCCAACCAGCTAGCTCAGGAGTCTACAAACTTAGCAACTTTAAGACCTGTGGACTTCAATTCCCAGAATTCCTCAACCAGCCATGAGGGCTGAGGAATTCTGGGAGTTGAAGTCCACAAGTCTTAAAAGTGCCAAATTTGAAGACCCCTGAACTAGCTGGAAGTGGTGCATATTAATAAACATGGATAAATTCACCATACATTTGTCAGTGCAAAGGGAAAGTGATTCAGCAAAGGAACAGCCACCGAAGAAATTAAAACTGGTACGTGTTTCTTTTTTTCTACAGTTTGTAATATTTTATTAGATTATAGAATAAAATAAAAAAATACAAAAGCAAATAGTGGGACACAGTGGGGAGAAAAAAGGGGGGAAAAGTGAAGGGGAGAAGGGAAAAAGAACATACTTCCTCTGTTGCAGTAGAAGGAAGCATTAACATTGAACCTCAACTTTTTACTTTTCCATAATATTATAAACTAGCCATTTCTATAACAACAAATGAATCTAAACAGTAAAACCCAAAATCTCCCCCCCCCCCTTTTTTTAGTCAAGTTTTTGACACCTTGCCAAGCACTGGTGGTACTCAAATATTGTCATGTCTTAAAAGTAGTACAATCTATGAAAAGGTTGAAAAGCCCTGCCCTAGAAGATCTGCATGAAGCAACATTAGAGTGATCACCTGGATAGTTGAATTGGATATCCAGTTATGAGGCCACTGCTGTACTCCTATAGAAGTTGTCTGTACATGTTTTTCTTTGTCATGTTCTTATCATATGCTAAATAAATAAACTTATGTCTTAGCAATATTGGATTTTATCACCTTGCATAATTATATTGCCCATCAGATGGAAGATTATAGAAAAGATAACATGGAATCATATTAAAATGTAATCTGGATTCCTGGATTTCAAGAGCTACCATTGAACAGTATCTATGTGTGATAAGTTAGTGCCTTGCAATATAGCCAACATTTTCTATTGCATCAGTATATTTTTCTGTTACATAATATTTGTCTGTTAAAAACGTAATATATACTATCATAACTTATCTGCAAAATGCAAAAATACCACTTAGTGCAATAGTGCCATTCCTCAGTCCTCTGATGCCCTAAACAAGTTTCTGGAAGGCTAGCAGTAAGGATGCACACCTAACTTTCCAAACTAAAGGACATGCAACTGAACATAATTATCTATGATCTCCACACCTTAATCCCAAGGGACCTGGGATTCATCATACAGTTTTGATATGGTGATATGGATCAATGACATTTCTTTTTTTTAATATTATTTATTGCCCTGAGGCCATGTGAGGTTTTATAAGTACTTTAAGTTGCAATTGAGGACTTTTGGGCAACTAATGCAACTTCCGCTAAATAAATGTGATTCTAATTTATTAACATCCCCCTTTATAATAGGATGGTGATATTGTATGGGTCATTGCTGCCAACTTCCCATTCCAGGAAAACTCTCACAGATACATGAGCAAAAATCTGGTAAAGGACACCTTGGCATGTTCTCACTTGCCTATGTAGCACTCGTTGAGTGTCTAAGAGGGCTCAGAAACTGTCTTGCTGTTTATTTATTACTTTGCTTGCTGTTTGTTAAGAAACTACAAATCTGAAGTCACTTCCTTCTGCCTTTCTTCTTAAGCTCACACATATAGAGCACATGCACTTTGACTCAGCTATCTGCTAATTTTTGCCAACTCCATAATATATTACCTGTAACTAAATCTTATTTTTAATACACTTATAAAACCTGTTCCATCAATCATTGTTCTGGTCAGATTCCCATTATCAGGGACTCTCACATGCACGCAGACCATGTTATTTCCCAATACCTTCTGCATTTTTATTTGGCTCAGTATTCATCTCTTTTGTTCCATCCAAACACAAATCATGCTCTCCTGTACCAACACTGTATCCATGCTTGCCAAAACAAAAGTCTTAAAAAGCAGTGTCAGTAATTGACAAGCTAATGAGTAAAAAAGTACATTCAGAAAGCATTTTATTTATTCTCTGTGCTTCTGCACTCATTTCTACTGGATGATTTGATCGAAGCAGGCTGCCATGAACAGCATGGAATTGTATGTATCAGGACCTTATGGGTGCCATGATTGTCCCTGCTTGAAGGCATACTTAGTGGTATTGCAAAGTAGCTGGAAGACTCATGGGAGAACAGTACTGATTACCACCACTTGGGCTGGATAGGAACATTTGCTAGTTCAATTGTTGGTGTCATATAATTCATTTTCTAGTTCTGAAAAAGGGAAAATCAAAATCTATTAATTTTATTTTCTGAGTTCTTTTGGTTTAATTTGGGCAGAACTTTTTTTTAAAATAGCCTTTAGCATGGAGTCCAAGGACTCTCTGAATCCCTTAGAACAGGCATGTCAAACTTGCGACGTCATATGACGTCACGCAATGTATTGCGACTTTTTCCCCATTGCTGGCAATGGGGTGGGCATGGTGTCAGCATGACGCATCCGGCCCATGGGCCGGTAGTTTGACATGCCTGCCTTAGGATAAGGCACTGCAGTCCATATGGTTCTCCTTCCCAATTCTATACAGCTATAAAATGGGATGGGGCAATCCCATCTTTCTTTTGTTATTGCTCCTACATTTAAAATCTGAGGATAGTGATCCAGTTTCCTGTCATTTTGAGTTGAAAAATATTTAAAAGCTATACACTCTAAAATAGGTTTAACACAGACAGAAGGAAAAAAATCCAAATTCCCATCAAAAAGCCCCTCCTCTTGAAAGAAAATATTATTTTGCATCATCATCCCTCCAAAATAGTTCAGTGTAATCTATAGCTATCAAAATGTTGCCCATCTCCACTTATGTCCAAATCCTGAGGTAGAAAATCGAGAGCACCGTAGCAAGGAAAATCTAGTATGGTCTACTTTAAAGCCAGACCAACATTATATACCATTAAGAACACTTTCAGGAATAGGTTTGGGTTTTTTTTAAGAAAATGTGGATACACTGCAGCATTTTGCAGTAATTGTCACTCATTTTATTTTGTAAATTTGAACAATCATTTGCTTCTCTGTAGTTTGCAGGTATAATTTTATTTATTTATTTATTCAACATGTCTTTTTAAAAATTTAAAATACAAATAAACTCCCAACCTCTAGGAATACATTTTAAAAGTCCCATCTAGACTCCCAACTTTGAAAATAAGCCCTATATGTAGGATTTTAATAAACAAACTGAAATGCTAATAAGTAAATAAATACATACACAGAGAAGGTTAAGAAAAAATAATCAAATCCGTCGATAACGATCTGCCTCTGGACTTCCTTCTTTCATGAGATAGCCTGGCTGATACATGAGATCCACAATATATATTTGAGGGGGAAGCAGAAGTCCAGGTATTCCCAAAGGAGAATCATCAACCAATTTCACCTCATTCCACCCTCTATTATATTCACCACGGTATAGGCTGCAATTAATAGCAATTCTGTCTGCCAGAACCTATGAAAGGAAAGAATAAGAATAACTTTATTTTCTTTTATATTTGTGGATTGCCATTCTGATAGAATTAAATCTACTTTGCTGCCATCTAGAGATCCTCAAGATTCCTGCAGCCCTAAATTTCTCATTACAGTGCAGTCAGAGACACATTGATAATAATGCTTTATAATTTGGTATGCTAATGGTTAAAAGAGAAAAAGAATAAGTCAATTGAATACTATTTAATGAAGAAATATTGGGGTCAATAAAGAGCCAAACAGCAGTTGGTTTCAGTCAGTCCACAGAGAAGACACATTTTCATCCCTCCTGAGAATTCACTAGAAGAATGACTGCAGATGGAAAGATTATTGAGCTTATTATCCCTGCCAAACACAATGCGCTGGTCTTTGATATGTTATTTTTAAAATTATATTCCTCACTGCATCATACAGTGAAAATCACTTGGCTTCTTAGTCAACAATTTGGAATCAACTGCATACAAAGTACATATATATTTAAATCTCCAAACACTTCTAATAATGGTGAATATTTCTTATACATTTATCAATAAATAGAAGGATTAATTTAAAAGCAATGCCACTAATGTTACAACTTGCCAACAGATAATAGTACTGATGAACTAGAAGTTCTGACAGTTGTTCTTTTACTTCAGCAGGAAATTGCTGTAAGAAAAGTTTATTTTGGTATTACCTACTATTTTTCAAAATTCTGATAGCATTTATTACTTCCTTTTCATCAAACATGTATAACATTTATTCAGTGCTATTCTTTGACATTTAGATATCTTTATCAATCTACTATCAAGCCTTACTCTGTAGATTTGGTCAATATTGTTATTTCCATATTACAGAAAACAAAATGTGATTAAGAAAGTATGTCTAGTCTTCCCGTGATTTTTTTTCTGATATAAAATGTGCTCTTTGTTTGAGTCATAGCAGTGCTTGTCATTTCATACATAGGGCTTTTTCTGTTTATTTTCAGTGTCACATTGTATTTGCTTTGCCTATATGTCCATTGAAGATTTTAAATGGAGCTTATAAAGCAATGTACAGTAGAAAAATGCATACCTATTGATTGGAAATCAATACCAAGTATGAGCAAAAATATTGTACACATGGAAAAAAGTGAATACTACAATTTGAATACTACAATACAGTACTTACATTGAATCTGATGGAATAGTAGCATTTACAGCATATTCATTACAACTAAAAGTATGCAACTTAGAGTAGCATTTTTGATTAGCTACTTAGTTAATTTGTCTTACCTTGAAAAGCAAAGCTCTGTGGTAGAAGGTCCCTTTGCTGATCTTCCCAATAGGTACCACATTGCATTTAAGCTCATATTCAATTTCACTTATATGAAGCTCCCAGCTGAATTCATGTAGATTGTCTCTTTCAATGGGACCACCCAACCTATCTGCAACAAACCTGTTTTCAAATCAAACAAGGTAAATTAAATCTACTTTCTTCTCATACTAATTAACTGGGCTAAGCAATAATTCTGCTTCTTGACAAATATTTGCATTGAGTTCATAGTGGATTCTTTCACATGTCATAATTGATTTGTTTGCCCCTGGGGGAATTATTTGGTGGCAATATATTCCAGGATTACATAGATATTGATCTGATCTAGCAAGACAATTTGATGTTCTAAAGTATGGGTGTCCAACTTTTTGGCTTGCCTGGGTTGCATTGAGTGAAAAGGAATGTCTTGGGCTGCATATAAAAAATAAATGTATATAAATCACATAATAATATTAAAAGTTTATGGTCTAGTAGGGCTGCATTACTAGCTATCTAGGGTCGCACGCAGCCTGTGGGTCATAGGTTGGACATGCCTGTTCTAAAGGATTCCATTCTTTGGATATGTGAGGGTGGATTGTGGTTTCCACAACTTTGGAACAATACTCTTTATTATTTGTCCAGATTGTAATAAAGTGAAAGGATAAGAGTAGTAACTAATGGAAGGCATGAGACTTTAATTGTTTGCAGGCTACTTAAGAATGTTTTTGCGTTCTGTAACATACACATTTTCAGGATCTATTTCTAAGGAGCTAAAATAGCAGGTTTTGAGATGCTTTCATTTAATGTTTCATTTTTATTCCTCTTGAAGATGTCAGATTGCTAATGTAATTTCCTTTCTTATTTTAAATCTAGCAATCATATGAGGTTGATCAGGATTGAAAGAATGATTTTCTGAAAGCCATTCACTAATTTTAATGATTAAATTAGTATTTAAAATCCCAGAACTATTGATCTACAGCTTCCACACATACTATAAATTCCAGATGTTGTTACAAATCACAACTTCCATCATCTCCACCTAGCATGTTTAAGGATTGGGGGTATGAGGAATTAAATGCTACCATTCAGCAACCTAAGGATGGGAATCATCTCTTAAGTTTACCATTATGTTTCACTGGCTCTCAGTTCTGTTTGGCTATTTCTCACCTTTTTTGTCTTGATTGTCTAAGAAGAAAACCATGCAATTTAAACACACACTTCTTTGTTTCAGCTATGCAAATTTAGACACATAGAAGCAATTTCCGTGCTATTCTGGATTCTCAAGACACAAATGACAATAGTCTGTCTGGCAAATAAAAGTATATTACATTCATTATAGCCTATTGTAGGAGTATGCTAAAGATTTGGTGATAGATGAGAATATTAATAATCTGTCTGATAGATTCTGCACACCAACCAATACAGGTTATTTTTTTAGAAATATTCCTTTGTTTAATATCAAGATTCATAAAATATCAGTGTATTAGGTTGGTTGGCAAGTGGCACACTTTGAACAAATTGTGATTGAGGCCAATTTAGGACAACAAAGGCATCTAAACAGCTTTTTTCTCATAGGGGGCTCATTAACGAATGTTCGAACATTCCTTATTAAGCCCCTTATGAGAAAAAAGCTATTTTAGATGCCTTTATTGTCCTAAATTTACTCAATCACAATATATATAGTTTACTGCAGTAAAGTGAGACATGCAGCTTTTGGCTCAGAGTGGACAGCAGAAACTGATCAGAGCGGTCAAATTGGTATTCCAAGATAGGTTGGCAATGGGCATTTTTAATAATTAGCAAGCCTAATTTGGCATAGCAAGCCTGTTCCACAAATGAATACATGGCAGAAACAGAATGGAATATAATAAGGAAAATGAAGCACAAACTGGAATCCAGAGGTTCCATGTAGTCTGTCAGCATCCTTTCTGCAGGCCTCATATTCAGAGCCAAACATTTTGAACTTCCCTTTTTTGCATATTTGGAATAGGAAATGTTTAAAGGACAAAAAGAATGCCTTAAGCCTCTTTTAAACTACTCAAGCTGCATATGGACCCCAAGATGGCAGTTCTAGCTATCTGATTGAAAGCCTAACCATTCTTCTACCTGTGTCCTGTGTGTGGAATGCATATAAAAGGGAGCTGGACTTCAACTGCATGGTCATGATTGAAGGCTGCCCTGCCCCTATGAATGCCCTTGGCCCAATGAACATTGCCCAACTACTGCTCGAGAGCAACTCTCAACATATTATGCTAAATCTGGAATGGCCCTTGAGTTGATGGAAATTTTGCACTTTGAACCTAATATTCTGATGGAATTTTTGCCAAAGAAAGGAACACTGAATAGAAGTGGCCAAACTTTATTCAATGATCCTTGGATGCCTGCTTTGCAAGAAAGAACTCTGAATAATAGAAAGATACAGATTTTGATACTTTTTGGGGTTGAGAGGTCGGAAATCTAAGTAAGTTAATTCATGGATACAATTTAAGCGTGAGACAGATATTTAAATAAAGGAAAATGTATTTTTCAATTGTAAAGCAAAGCTGCTAAGAATTCCATTGTTGAGAGGATAGAATGTTGAGATCATCAAGCATGCACACTTGATTAGGATGAAACATCTGTGATTTCTCATCTCTTGCTTCCTAGATAAACTTTTAGGTGATAGAATTAAAGGCTATCTTGGCATGTTTGAATTATGCATTAGTCTGGGTCTGGCCTAATTTATGTATGCAATTAGGGGGCAGAGACTGCAGAGGGAAATGGGGAAAAAGTTTGCATCAGGAGTGGTAGAGGAAAGCTGGGGACAGAAAGAAGAGGCAAAGAGACTTTGGAGAAGAATTTGCGGCTTTATTATTTTAATTCCTTAGTCATGATTCTATAAAAACCTCTTTTCCCATGAAACCCTTTAAACAGTTTTTATTTGCTTTACTCCTTTTATATGAGTTAGTCACTTTGAAAATCAATTTAAATAATGTTCTATCTCAATATGGTCTCTATAACTACTACAAACGTACCCTAAATTATCTCCCAACAGATTAACAGCCCTATCATATTTGTGGAAAGTGTGCAAAATAGAACACAATGGAGATTCCAACCAATAGACAGCCTAAATAGTTTGAAAGATTCCTTTTGCATTGCTAGCATATTCATTTGAGATACTCACTGTGCAAGAGTTACAACTTGCTCTTTGCTGGTTGGTAGTGGCAGAATTGTTCTGGAAATCTCACTAATATAATCATACAAGATGGGGTCAAAAGGGGGGATCCATAAAGCTTTTCCTGGGGTTTCAACTATTTTAGGTATGGATGCTTCCAAGTCCTCATCTTTTGGTTTTTCTTCTTCTTTTTTCCCTTTTCCCTTCCTTTTGTAAAAAGGCAACACTGATGATTAGAAACACCTTTGTTTCCAAAACTTTTTTTTTTAATCAGCATAGATAGGACAGAGGCTCATTCAGAAAAAAACATGGGATTCTTTTCCAAGGTAGATAACACAAGAAATATTTCTGTCATCTCAGAATTTTGCAGCACTTTTTAATGATCTCTCTCCTAACTTCATGTTCAAATAAATATTTTGGGGTTTCTTCCTACATACTCTTTCATAAAGAAGCAACTCCAGAGTTTCAAAGATTTTAGCTAACAGCCATAAATTATTTATATTTCCTACCACCAATAGTGCAGGTGTCACTAACATGGGACAAGTCTTTTTCAGTTAACTCCTAGATTTTGATCCAGGAGTTTCTTATGATCCCCATCTGGAAAGCTTTCAATGCATCTATTAGAACAGTGGTTCTCAACCTTTTTAATGCTGCGACCCCAACCGGTCGTAAGTCAAGGACTAAACCGGTCGTAAGTCAAGGACTAAACCAGTCGTAAGTCGAGGACTAAACCGGTTGTAAGTCGAGGACTACCCAACCGATCGTAAGTCAAGGACTTTCCCTGCCCGGGAGCGCCACGCATGCGTGGTTCCGCCCCCTGCGCCGGCCGAGGCATAGCGGGCAAGCGGCAGAGACGGAGCAGGCCAACCACCAGCTGGCCCAGCCCAAGGGAGGTAAGGCACCCACCGGAAAAAGGGGAAAAATGGCGGACAAAAAAAATGGCGGACAAAAAAATGGCGGACAGCCTTGCTTGGCGACCCCCATGAAATGGTCGATCGACCCCAAATGGGGTCCCGACCCACAGGTTGAGAACCACTGTATTAGAATATGCACATTTTGTGAGAAAATTCAGATTGAAAAAATTCCACAGATATATAATACTTAATCAGACCCACTGGTAATGGTTTATTTGGTTCTGGCAGTTCTTAAGTGGTTTTATGGTAATGGTGGAACTGGAACTTGCATAAATTCAGTCATTTAAGGATATTAAAGCTCTAATGAAAAGAAAGAACCTTTTTAAAAAAAATCTGAAAAGACAGGAAAAAGCAAGCAAGCACACACTCAAAAAAGTAGAGAACAAAAATATAAATGCAACAATGAGAGAATCAGTAAAGCTTATTCAATGAATCAAAGGAAACCAAGTTGCTCTAGAACTGTTAAAGCGTGTGATCAATTTATATCTATGCCCATCCTAGATATGCAGTATAGCTCTGAAGAAGGCTGAAAAAGTGCTTCTTCCCATATATTATACCTGAGGCCCAAAGCCATAATTTGCAACCTTATTCTGAAATAATGACTAATGGCAACTCAGAAATGGGTCTTTTCAGCAGTAACCTTATAGCCACAAAACACCTTTCTAGAAAAGTCTGCCTAATTCTTATTTTATTATCTTCTTACTGACAAATGTAGATTTTTGAACATTAATTTAGACCTTTTAATTTCCTTCTGCTGCTAAACTGTTTGTGTTTTTAAACAGCATTATCCCTATGATGTTTTAGTCACTGAACTTTCAAATACCAGTTATTTTATTATATTTTATTTGTGATTTTATTAGTGTCATCCTGAGAGCTTTCACCTGCACAGCCAACTAATAAACTGCTGGAAATACAAGACCACTAATCTACTATAGGGTAAATGAAGTAGGTTGGTATTGGACAAATATGTTACAGTTACACACTTAAAACAGTTTGAAACAATTAATAGCTGCACATTTTTCTGAGTGGTTTGGAATTACTGGGTTTAACTGAATTGAATCATGAGATTGCCACACAGAAATTATCATGGCTTTGGTTTCATTTAGGTGCTTTGCAGTACCTTTTAAAATGTTAAACTTTTAACAAAGAGTCTAAATTCTCAGCACTATTTCTAAACAATCTGAGACCTGAAAAAAAGTGTAATATAAGAAAGATTGATATGATCTAAAGAAAAACCAGAGTATAAGAATAATATAAGGAGGATGGACCCAGATGAATGGTATTTTTCCATGCTAGATTGTTTTGGTCACATGTAATTTAGTAAAATTACTGAAAATTTAGTAAAAATACTGAAAAAAAGGTCTGGGAATATTCAGAAGTGGAACATTTCAATTACATTCTGTGACATCATGAGCATGCAGGGAAATCCACTAAGAAAAAAGTATTGGCTGAAGCAACAGATGGAAACTAACCAAAGAGAAAAGCAACCTAGAACTAAGGAGAAAATTCCTGACAGCTACAACAGGTGTTATGTTGCAGGTGTTTGTCTGTTTGAATTCTGAAGTCCCAGAGCAGTTTAATTTTATCATTTTCTATGACTTTCTCTATTTTATGATCCCATTATTATTACTATTATTACTATCATCATCATCATCATCATCATCATCATCATCATCATCATCATCATCATCATCATCAGTCTGCCTAACATGGATGGGCTATTTGCTACAATTAATACTGTTCTCTAAGTTCATTTATCTATTTAAGTAGAAAAGGGCTTCATGTTGATAGGAGCAAGAAAAGGCAGAGTTATGACAATCTGCAAAAGATAACAGAGACTGTTTGAACTATGTTATATATGGTAGTGGAAAGTAATATTATGCTGATCAACTTTCCTGACCATACAATTACTTTAGTGCATTATCCATATCTTTGCTAGATTTCTACCATGGACTCAAAATTGTCAATTACATGCAGCCCATGTAATTGAAATACTATTCTACTGTATCCATATTTAGCCCTGCTTTTTTTCTCTCTCCTTTTTTTGCTTCCGAGAGTTTGTTTTTAGAATGTAGGCCCTCTTTACCCTCTTCACCCTCAAGCTTTAAATAAGAATACCAGTACCTTGATCCTTTCTCTCTAGAAGTTCCTTTACTGATTGAAGAAGACCGTCCTGGTGAGTCTGGTTTTTCATCCAATGAACTATCAAAATTAAAAAATAATTGCCAATATCTCTTGATTTCTGTAAGGCATAGGAATTCTTAAGGAACTGAGAGGAGAAGAGAAGCATTATTAAGAATCCTTGGGGGCCTTTCAAACAAAATCAATAGGCAAAATAATTATCTGGGGAAGAATCCTTTCCTTGCCCTGCAAAAGAATACAGTACTAAAAACTTATATTCCATGTTAATTTAATTCTTCCATGTTTTATAACTATTTGGCTAAGTAATTAATTTTAAAATTATTTAAATCAGTTCAGTCATATTTGCAATCAGTAGGCACCTTAAAAATACATCACCCCAAAAGGATCCACGGTGCAACTATCCTTGTGAGAGAGGTGGGATATAGTCCCACTACAGTGCTTTGATAGAACACAAATTCTTCTCCAACTTGTTTGTGTGTGGGGGTAGATCTTTCCTACTCATCTTATCCAGACAATTGTGTCACATAAATTGTTATGTATGAGATACAGAAAGATGCTTTCAGAGAAAAAGTGCAGGGACAGAAAGGCAGGTTTCTATTTTATTTGGAATATACAGTAATAAATAGGTACTACTTTGTCCTCTTTGTGTCCACAACAGCCTTTGTTTCCTTTTTTGTTTTTAGTAAAAGCAGTAGCAAAAATATATCCTTAATTACACAAATTGTATTAAAATAAGTTAGTTGACATTTGATCACATTAAAACAAGTGTGACGTTACTTTTTTTATTCCTCTACAGTAAATATCCATAAAGACCCACTGAATCTGATAAGAGCATTTGTAGAGCAGGGCTTTTCAACCGGTGGTACGCGACCACCTGGCTGGTGGTACGTGGCGTCGCTTTCCTCTCCCTCCCCTGCATCGCTTTCCTCCCCCCCGCTCTGCTCCTTCCCAGCTTACTTGTTTGTGGAAAACGCTGCTTGGCAGCAGCCTGCACAAACCCTACTGAACGTGCCCTGCAGGGGGCGCATGAAGAACGCAGGTGCAGAGCAAGGCCCTGCCCTCCCCAGGGACTCATTGTGCAGCAACCGGATTGACTTCTTCTGGTGCACGCAGGTCAGCGGGATCCATGTGGCCCTTCCCCTCCCTCTTCTTACTTCACAACAAGCGCTAGCCTGATAGCCCCTTCTGGGCTGGGAGAAGTGCACGCCGTTGCCTGTATCGCAGGCTTAAAATCTGAAACAGCTAGGCTCTTGGCTGACTGATTGCCTTTCTCCCCCCCTCAACTTTTCTACAAACCGGGAATCGTGGCTAAGTGGGGGCCTGGAGCGGGTCTCGGGGTGCCCGTGCACACCTTGGATCAGACAAGCGAGTGATTGACTTTAGCCTTTGGGAAACAAAAGCCGGTCGGGGCTGATCTCTTCCTGCCCGGGAAGGCTGGAGAAGCCAGGAGAAAGTCAATTATTAGAGGGGGGGGGAGTCACTTCTTCATTTAAGGCAGTTTTGGAAAAGTAACTTTTGCTGGAATGGAAAGCAGGTTTTTTTTCCCCTTTTCTTGGATCGCCTTCTTTGCTTGGCCCTCTGTTGCCTGTATCGCAGGCTTAAATTCTGAAACAGCCGGGTTCTTGGCTGACTGATCGCCTTTCTCTTTTTGGGAGATGCGCCTTTGCAGCGGGTTTCCCCTTCCGTTAACTATTGGAGGTTTGAAAGCCAAGTTGTTCCCAGAGCATAAAAGTAGAGGGCCCAAATGGCGAGAGTGACGCAGCTCTCCGACTCTCTGCTTCAGGGGAAAAATGACTGGGAGAAGTAGCCAGTTATAACGTACATGCCTGAAAACGGGAGGTGAACCGGCCACATCCCCGCCCTGCCTGTGTGTTCTCCTCTGCCTCTGCGCGCACAGGCAGGGCCATGATGTGTTGCTGCCTACCAAAACTAGGCTGTGGTCTGGGCGGCGTAGCACAGGACGAAGGAACGAGGAAGGAAAGGAAGGAAGGAAGGAAGGGACAATGGGAGCTGCAGCGCTGCAGCCTTCCAGTCCCATGAGCGTCCTTCGGCTGTGCTCCAGGCCTCGCATTTATCAGCTGTTCAGCGGCTGAGAGACAGAGCCTTTCAGCTTCAGGCCGCTCCATTGGCCCTTGGCTTCCTGCTTCGTCCTCCCGCCCATCAGCTGTTTGGCTTGGTCGGGAGGCATCCACGCTGCCAGGTAGAACAGCGCTGGCGCTGGCCACTGGTCTCCTTTGCCACCCCGCACATTGTCCTTGACCCCTCCCCCCACCAGTTCATGTCGAGGCGGCGGAGGTTTGACAGGGAGAGAGGGAGGGAAGGAGGAAGGGACAAAGAGGGAGGTGAAGGAAAGGAAGGAAAGAAGGAAGGAAGGGACAATGAGAAAGAAGGAGGGAAGGAGGAAGGGACAAAGAGAGAGGTAAAGGAAAGGAAGAAGGAAGGGACAATGGGAAAGAGAGAGGGAAGGAGGAAGGGACAAAGGGAGGTGAAGGAAAGGAAGGAAAGAAGGAAGGAAGGGACAATGGGAGAGAGGGAGGGAAGGCAGGCAGGATGCCCCAGTCGCATCCCCCTCCACCAGAGACCTACGGATTCCCCCACACAGGCACCCTGCAACCTGAGTGATCAGCTGGCCATGCCCCCCCGGCCATTGATCACATGACCCTGGGACACTGAACGTCATAAGTATGAATCAGTTGCCAAGCATCCGAATGTAAATCACAAGACCCTGGGGATGCTGCAACAGCCATAAGTGTGAAAAATGGTCATAATTCGACTTGTAACTTCAAACAGTCACTAAGCGAATTGTTGTAAGTCAAGGACTACCTGTACTTTCTCATTTTTTCCTTTTTTTGGGGGGGGTCAAGTTTTTGATACCTTGTTTGCGAGTGGTGGTACTCGGATATTGCCTTATCCGAAAAGTGGTACAATGGGTGAAAAGATTGAAAAGCCCTGTTGTAGAGGACTAGAAGTATAACAATCTAGTTTTGATCCAATCCATTTAATCTTTGGGCAATTATTAAAAAGCCATCTACTATGCAATAACAAGCTAGCCTTATAGAGGCAGCCATTCAATAGAGATACAGTAATAAAATATATGACTATGTAAATTATTGGGTGCCGGTGTATATAGATAGATACACACATATATAATTTAACAATGGCAAATGCATTTCATTCCATGTTTGAATCAGGAAATATATGTGACTACTGATAATATAATATCCTTTTAGCATATTTATATTATTGTATTTAAATCATGTTTTGTAAGTGTCTTAAATGATTATACAGTACAAAAGACACAAGGGCTATCTCAATTGTAATTGAAATCAGAGTAGGAGGAGCTGCAGGTATCAAGTATCCATTGGTGTTGATGTTAATGCTGTGTAATATTGAACCTAATTACTAAATAAAAATATATACAACATGATGTGAATTGGTAAATCCTATGTATGCTTTGGTTACTACTTTGCTTAGTATCACTTATGAATAAATGCATTTTCCAGCTTTTATATGTAGATGATAACACTCTGGGTAATTTTCTAAGTCTGGAAAATGTACTAGTGTTATTAATGTTTTCAGTTATTTTCTGGACACAGAATACAATATATAGTATAGGTAGTCCTCGGCTTACAATCATTCATTTAGTGACCATTCAAAGTTATAATGACACATGACTATTTTCCAAACTTATAACCATTGAAGCATCCCCACAGTCACATGATCAACATTTGGATGGTTGGCAGCAAGCATGTATTTATGACAGTTGCAGTGTCCTGGCATCATGTGATCACCTTTTGCAACCTTCTGACAAAATCGATGGATAAACCAGATTAAAGAACATGTTATTAATTTAACAACGAGAGTGATTCATTGAACAACTGTGGCAAGAAAGATTGTAAAATGGGGAAAAGCTCACTTAACAACTGTCTTGCTTAGCAATGGAAATTTGGGGTTCAGTTGTGGTTGTAAGTCAGGACTACTTACGGTAGATGTAGCTTTTACTAGAAATTACCATCCTGCTAGAGTCAGAACAAATAGAAAATATTCCATAAATTCTTGTTTACCAATTCCTTAAAACCTCAAAAGGACCTTGATGCAGGAACTTAGCATTCTAGTGGAATCTACCTTAATCAGCATGGCAGAATAGCTTATTCTTATGCCACTATGGTGGTTAGGGTGAATGGGATTACATAAAGTTAAATTGGTGTCTAAATGGTGCCATGAGATTTTTAAATTTGAGAAGAATCTGTATTTCACAGAAACTTGAATAGTTTTCTTATTTTAGATCATTCTTATTTCAAATTCTGATAAAGTGGTTTGATTCTTCTAAAAAGAAATCTAATTTATACATTTTTAAATCTACAATTCATCAAAGAAAAAAAAAGAGCAGTTACAAAAATTTAGATACTTACTTATTTCTGCTAGATCTCCTGATATTGCTGGCAGACACCCCAATTCGAGAGGCTGTGGTCTCTTGTGGCTTTTCCTCAACTGGTATGGAAATTGCTTGTTGTTCACTGAAACAGAAAGGATGTTATCATATCAGACATTTATTCTGCTTATTGCTCAGAATAAAACATCTGAACATTCTTTTTCAGTGCTGCTGAGCTTAGCCTAAGAAAATTCAAACAGGTTGTTTCTAAAGATATTAAATATAGTAAGTTATGGAAACTGGGACAGAGCAATTAGTAACAATGAGATTTTAGAGTAGAAAATTCATATGAAATTAAGAAATATTGTAATTTCATTTTATGTACATAGACACAATTTTTCTCTATATATGTATATTTATGTGTTATACATTCAGTTTCCTCCTATCACTTCTATTTTTTGTGTACTTAAATCCTATTTTTATATGGATATTTCCTGCTGTTGATATGGATGAATGCTTCAACCTAAATTATGTAATTTGAGAAAATGAATATTTCCTAAGGCAATCACAGAAATGATTCTGCTTACAGACTGGTGTTGACTGAAACTAAAAGATTAATTAATGAGCTGTGTAGAGAGCAGGAAATGTGAATACTGAGGATTTAATGTACTCCAATTTGTGTGTCCTTTCCCCTACCACAAGATAAGATTGTTTTAAATAGCACTTAGATTTATATACCACTTCACAGTGTTTTACAGCCTTCTCTAAGCAGTTTACAGAATCAACAAATTGCCCCCAGCAATCTGAGTCCTCATTTTACTGATCTCAGAAGGGTGGAAGGCGGAGTCAACCTTGAGTCAGTCAGAATTGAACTACAGAATTGAACAGCAGAATTAGCCTGCAATACTGCATTCTAACCACTGTGCCACCATGGTTAGATTAATATTAACACATATTTTAAAAAGCTGAATCTCAAAGCTTTAAATTTATGAAAAGAAATATTAAAAATTCAGTGTTAATGTAACCATGCTCTTTAATGGTCTGCTGGAATGATCACGGTTTAAATAGCTGATCAGCTATTCTCATATGAACTATCATCAGCCGTCTACCAATCACCTGAAAGAGATGTTGTAAGATTAACATGACGTGCTATACAGGTAATGGAGCCTGCCCATTTCGGTCATAAGGTGGGAGGACATTAATTGAAACTTGTTAAATGAAAGACCCCTCATCCTGGATCACCCCAAAAGGCAATACAGCTGCTTTGCCTTGTTTGAAACCTGACCTGGAAGGCAAAGCTGCTCTTACCGCTCCCTCTGCATCGCCCTTTCAACACTTAACCCTTTATTGTCTGTTCTCTGCCTCACTGCCATGCAGAAAGGCAGAAGGTGGGGGAAATTCTGCTTTGCCAAGGTCAATGGCTGCTCTACATGGCCCAGTAAGAACAGCCCACAATAATGAATTCTGCAGATCTCTGGAAGGTAAACAAGGCATTGTGAGGGGTGGAACAGGAGGGCAAAGCAGGCTCAGTGCCTTTGGGGACCCAGCAGAATGGGTCCCCAAAGAATGGGAGGGGGGAAGAGATAGGTGGGTGTGCTTCAGCATCTCTGCAAAGTTATGAAGCCCCTGGTCATTCATAAGTGCAAATGACCGGATAACTTTTGTAAAATTCTTATCTTCAAATCATGGTCGTACATGGCTTTTAGGAGGTCTGTTGTAACTTTGAACACTTGCTAAATGATCTGTCATACCTTGAGGATTACCTATAAACACTGCCTTTAGAGTAAGGAATAAATGCAGACCTATAAACCTCTTAGCGGAAAGAGAAGGTTTTTTGGAGTAGGACATTCCAGGATATTTCATGAACAATGAAAAACCTTTGCCTGAGGCCTTGGAGAACTGAATTAGCTGGCTTCAGACAAAGTCAATTATTAAAGCCTCTATAATAATCTTATTAGTAGACTCACAGTTCTGATAGTTTAGCATTTATTAAAATTATAGCACGATGATCATTAAGCTCCTGAACACAGAGTTCCTCCAGTGACAATAGTTTTTCACCAGGTTTCACCTATAAAAAAATTTCAATAAGGTGCATGATATTTATTTATTTTTATTTATTTATTTTTAAACTTATATGCCGCCCTTCTCCCACAGGACTCAGGGCGGCTCACAGCATATTAAAACAATACAAAGCACTATCCCCAATAAAAACCAATTAAAAACAAATATTTACCGCTGTGTCATATTAAAATAATAATTAAAATTGTCCCTATTTAAAATTTTCCCTAGGTCAGACCCGCTTGTCTGCCATCTCTAGGAAGTTTACAAAAGTTATTGGGAACTCTTGCTAATAATATTATATTAGTAGTATTAATATTAATTTAGTGTTAAGCACATAGGAAGAATGTTCATGAATAAAATGCCTAAAACAAAATTCACCTTCATTTTAGCATATGAAGATTTAGAATTATATACAAACTGAGAATTTCAATTTAAAGTAAACTCTAGTTTATTATTAATAAAAAACCAAACAAAACTCAAGAGTTTATTATTGGTTTATTTAAATCTGGCAAGAAGTTGTTTTAAATTACAATGTGTTTTTTACTTAATAAAAAATATCTATTGACGCCAGTTTTTGTTTCTTTTAAATGACAATTTTTTATTATTGTGCAGCATAATAAAACAAATATCTATTAAACTGTTTTTGAATTTTTGAACTTGAATTATATTTTACTGTGTGAATAGCATTAAACTATTAAAAAAACCTGTTAAAAATATTTATGATTTTACTGTTGTTCATGTTTTGAATGATCATTTGTTCTTCCAGACATGTTACAAAATTAGTATTTTTATAAACATCAGCAATAAAGTATACATTAATGATTGTATGGATTCAAACTCATGTTCATCTTTCAGCAAAAAAAATAATAAAAAAAGCCATATTATATGATCAAATTGTGGAACAAGTAATTATTTATTTATTTATTGATTGATTGATTATTAAATAAATTTATTACAATTATTTCTGACGTTTTTTAATCTTTTAAAAATAAAGTAACATATACATTAATATTTTAAAAATCCAGCTAAGAAAAGTGTAACAAAGTATTAAAAAGCTGCTTTGTACCTATATTTAACAGTAAAACAAGAGCAGATAAACCTCAGACCTATTTATACATGATAATAAATGACAGTTTATCATTTATCCTCACATGATCCAGATGATGGGAAGTAAAATGCAATGAGCTATGTCATAAACATTAAGTCTTTTCTTGCTATGATCTCCTATGTACTGGTGATGCTAACTAATGATAGGATTCCATATCTTTGTTTGATATGCAGTTCTCTAAAGACGCTTAATGTATGCTTAAAGCAAGTTTACCTGCCCATAGTCATAGAATCCATCCAAAATTATGTTAGTAGATGCTAAAAACCCCATTTGACTGTATTTTTGTGGAAGATTGTGATCAAGGATCTTTTCCAATGCTGCTTCACTGAAGTTATTTTTGCGACCAATAGAGAGGTTAATTTCATCAAGAATATCTAAAGCACTGTAGCAAAGAAACAAAGGAGAGAATTGCCAAAAATATTGTTCCAATTCATTACAGTATTTCTCCTATCATACTATAATCTTTTATAAACAATTTATACATTATTGAAATACATCTGACTTCAGATATGTATTTTCTAGTTTTCTAGTCTTTTCTAGTTCTCTGAAGACTATGCTCACTGTTACTGGTAGAAAAATAAGATATAAATGAAGCAAAAAAGGAATTGATTGTAAATTTGATAACGGCAGCTAGATTAGTGATGGTTAAATATTGGAGGCAGAATTGGGTTATTCAAAGAAATGAGCGGTATAATAAAATATGGAATATGGCAATAAATGATAAATTAACAACAGAAATTAAATTTAAAAAGGGATGATTAAAGTAAATAATTATAATGAAATATGGGATGATTTTATAAAACAGTCTTGGTGGAAGGCAAAGGGAATAAAATAAACCTGCTCAAGAATATATGCTATTTTGGAAGGAATAAGGGCACATTTGAAATATATTGTATATTGTTAGTTGTTATATGAGAAGAAATATAGGTAATAAAAATAGTCTCAGGAGGGTGCACTGTAGTATTTGTATTTTTATACTGTTTTTTATTTAGACTTATATGTATTATGTTTGTATTATTTGTATTTGAATAAAATAAAAATAAAAATTTAAAAAAAATTAAGACCATGCTCACAAAATAAAACAGAATGGAACAAGAGGAAAGATAAGTAAATTTATATGGTAGTAAAAGTAGTCAAAAGGTAGCAAAATCACAAAACCAGCAATCGTGTGTAAAATATCGAAATGTTGTTGATATCCTATAAGTTCTCATTAGATTTGCATGAAATCTCAGGAATTTTGGAAATATTTTATTGGGATACCAACTGGAAGTAAGGTAAGCTCCCTGGTTCTGTCAGTGCTGTTTCTGATCTATGTGTAAGCCTATGCATGACTAATCACTTTTTGCCATTATCTAATTCTCTTTGACAATATTTGCTTGCATTTAAGTAATTTAACTTTCATTTCCATCTTACATCATCTTCTCTTAATCTGATGCCATTCTGATGTGTTGGTCCACAATTCTTATCATTTTACTGAACATAGCCAAGCATAATCATGTGCCAAGAGGATTCATTATTTATTATAATTTATAGGATACCTACGAAAGACTGTGTATTAGTGTGTTCCAATTATCCCATAATAAAACAGATGAAACACAAAATCTAAAAATTCAAAAATTCAAAGGCCAACACCACTGGTGTAAAGATGCAAAAAACAAAACAAAACCACAGCATAAAAATTACAATAAATAATAAACTAATAATCTTTTAAAATAAAAAATATTCTTTATATTATGAAAAGCATACTCTTAGACACAAAACTTTTATTAGGCTTCTATCAGAAAAGAGACTGGCAAAAATGAAGAAGTGATGTGAGATGGGTGATGAAATGGAATATCTAATGCAACATGTACCTGGTTAGTCCCTAAACATGGATACATTACAGTGTAATACAACATGAAGACAAGATGGATATAAGATATAAGTCAGCATTAAAACAATGATCTGATACCACCACCACCACCACTACCACTTTAGCATCTCAACTCACCCCAGCCTGGTCATTTCAGCTGCTGTTAACTCATCACTTGCACAAACCATAACAGCCCAACAAGCATTTCTTCGGACTTCATCATTCTTAGAATGCAGAAGCTTAACAAGAGGTTCAAGACCACCAGAATTTCGTAACTGAAAGACAACATTTATATTTATGTATTTGTTTGTTTGTTAAATTTATTTACTGTCCATCTTGCTGTGGGGCTACTCTGTGTGGCTTACAACAATAAAATGGGAAAAATGAAAAACAAATGTAAGCATAACAATAGCAAAGAAACACAAACAATGGAGGTGCAATAATATGAAATTAAAAGAAGATGGACAGAGGGGGAGGAGGAAGTGCAGGGGGGAGATGGGATCAACTAATTAGTCCTGCAGCCACCTCCAATGATGTACTCCCTTATTGGGTCTCCAAGCCAAACCAACTGGCAGGCCCTTTTGAAGGAAGGAAAAGAGAGGCAAACTTCACCCTGGGGGACAGGATGTTCCAGAGGGTGGTGCTACAACAGAGAAGGCTCTTCTGGATCCTGTCAGATTTCCTTGACAGACAAGATCCACAACAGGGCTCCTCTGCTGGCATGATAGGACAGGCTTGTCATATTAAAAAGGTTGGCAAGAGCTGCACTCAACTAAGGAGCAAGACTGCTGCCAAGAATGCTTACTCAATTAGGACTGAATAGTTAAGGCTATGCTTATAGTGAAATAGCACTAGAGATTTCCTTTCTAGCCAAGGTAAGGTAAATCCTGCAAAGAGAAATAGAAGGAGTTGGCTTTTTCCACAAGGACTAAGATAGGAGGTTTAAAGTATCCACTAGTGAGACTGGATGTTATAAAATTATTTGGTCTCACCCGCAATTGAAATTGGCAATTTTATTTTATTAAGCAAAGCAGTCACCAAATTAAACTGTGACTGTGTTTATGACCTTAATTTAGCTTTCCTTTTTTTTAACCTGCAAAGGTCATAATGTTACTTTTTATCACCATGGTATCAATAATAATAATAAAGTTGGAAGGGACCTTGGAGGTCATCGAGTTCAACCCCCTGCTCAGGCAGGAAACCTTACACCATTTCGGACAAATGGCTGTCCAGTCTCTTCTTAAAAACTTCCAGTGTTGGAGCATTCACTGCTTCTGGAGGCAGGTTGTTCCATTGGTTAATTATTCTGTCAGGAAGTTTCTCCTTAGTTCTAGGTTGCTTCTCTCCTTGATTAGTTTCCATCCATTGCTTCTTGTCCTGCCTTCAGGCGCTTTGGAGAATAGCTTGACTCCCTCTTCTTTGTGGCAGCCCCTGAGATATTGGAACACTGCTATCATGTCCCCCCTCATCCTTCTCTTCATTAGACTAGACATACCCAATTGCAGCAACCGTTCCTCATATGTTTTAGCCTCCAGTCCCCTAATCATCTTTGTTGTTCTTTTCTGTACTCACTGCCCACTGAACTCTGTACTCACTGCCCACTGCCACTCTGTACTACTGCCCACTGAATGGTCACTGCCCAAGGTAGCCACTAAACTACCTGTAAATCAGCGAAATGGCTGGAATGCTGGCAACTGCTGAAGCTGCTAATTACTGGACTTTCCTACCTCCTGCTACTGTATTGCTCTCCTTTACTGGTTCCTATTCACTTTCTATTTCTGAAAAAGCAACTAAGGAATTGATGAGGGACAGCTGTTTCTGCACTACAAAGTGGTGCAGAAACACTTTTCCCTGAGGGAGAAGCATGTGAAAAGGTAATATCAGAAAGAAAGAGGTGACTAGCTATACCATGGAAGGAAATCTAGCAAGAATATATTGCGGTAAGATTGTGCCTTTCCTAAAATCTGAAACCCTGTCTATCCACTAATAAGAAATGTTATTGCAGCTTTTTCAAATTATTTAGATACTAATTTGTAACAACAAAATTGCATGCTTATTTATAAGCAGATGGATCTGTGAATAAATGCATCTCAACTAGAACATAGTGATTGCATTATATGTTAACTAATATAAAACTTAAATTTAAACATTTAAAATTGTGTTTGGAGAGCTAACAAAGTTGCCATGTTGCCAATCCCTGAGCCCAAATATATGCGAATAGCTTTAAACTGACTAGTAGCACTGAATTTCAGAGTAAGGTTTCTCCTTGTATTATTTGATAGGGCTGTGTAAAGCATTCAAAGAGGGTGTTTTGCAAAGGAGGTCGTGTGGGGAAAAGCATCCCTCCTCAAAATGTTAAAGCAGCCATGTCTGTAGCTGCTTTACATTGCTGGCAATCCCAGTAGAAGTACTATCTGTGTATCCACACACGAGTAGACAGCTGGAGAATGGCTTTGAAGTAGCCCTCAGACTTCCAGGTGAAGCTGCCAACCACAAAAATTTTGTTGTACAACAAGCTTTACAAAGTGCATCTTCAAAATGATTTTTGCTGTCCTGTGATTTTATCACAATTGTAAATGGAAGCCTGGTGTCTAGGCATTTTTCTACATGGAAAACATGAACTTTGTAACAAAATAATTATCTGTTTCTGTTGATTACACCCAACATTTTTCACCATGCACACTGTAACAAGGATAAAATTTCTCCTCAGGGTTTACATATACTACAGCTAAACTAAAGCTGACCTCACTTAGATACTTTTTTCTGATTCACAGTTCAAATTTTAACCTGCCTGACCTTTGAAATTTTTCAGATCTAGCTGAGAAGCCACAAGATAACTAGCATGAATATAAGCATTGAAGATTGTTTATTGAAACTGACAATTTTACACAACCAAGTATTAGAGATCCAATAACAGAGAACCAAAACCTTTACCTGGAAACACAGCAAAATATGCTGATCCAAGAAAGCCGTGTGATATGAAAAATGCCACGCTTTGTTTTTCCCAATATAGAGGACAGAGATCCCTTACCTCAGTTCTGGCCTCAGCATCACAGCCCATAGCAGCCACAGCAAGAGCTGCTCTGCTCTGCACAATGCTGTTAGTGGAATTCAGTGGTTCTACAATGGCAGTCATAAAACCATGACTTTGGATGGTGAGACGTAGGGGCTCCTGCATGGCTAAGTTTGTGAGAACAGAGGCAGCACTAGCCACAGCGCCATCTCTTTTGCAGCTCAGAACACTAATTAGCGGTTCGATGGCTTCAGCTTCAGCAACAGCACTAGGAAGTGGGAAAAGGAAATAATCACAAAGATGTATTACTCTTCCCCAGGCTGCTTATGGTAATTAAATCATACATACTGAAAGTATAACTATAAAAAGTCAATAAAACCAAAATATTTTCAATAAAATTATAAGAAATATAAAGTCTTATAATATTTTTATACATATTTACTTAAAAAATAACTGTACCAGGATTCATTGTTTTTCCATAGATAAGTATTTATAATTGTCCAACCTTAAATTAGGGTATATATTATACCAAGTATTTTTATTTAACTAGAAGTTCTTTAAAAATAAAAATAGCTTGTAGAGAAAACTCAGGTCATTCATTGGACTCATTCATTTATTCATTGTATTAATATTTCATCTTTCTTCCAGGAAGATAATAGGGTTAATTACATCCCTTCTTCTTTTTTAATGTATATTTTATTAATTTTTTACAATAACAATCTTAGTATTTAATAAGCACACTTTGTCTGGGTTTATGTGTTTAACATTAATAGCAATACAATTTCCATTCCTCGTTATTTTGTAATTTCTTTCCCATAGGATTTGCCATTTTTCTAACTCTACATTGTGCCCAAAGTTTTTTGCCCAAGTTATCATTGTTTCTTTAACTTGTTCTTCTTCCATCTTTAAATTTAACAGAAAGCTGTACAGTTTCTTAATCAGTTTCTCATCTGATGACAATAATATCTGGTCTAACATTGCCCGGTCTTTGTAAAAAACATATATTTTTGCATCTTTCTCATATCTCATTTCATTTGCAAGTCTGGCCACCATGATAGCTCAATGTCCTGTTCTTCCAATTCTTGTTTAGTTTGTAGTTTTCCATCAGCATTCAAAATATCTTTATAAGTCACAAGTTTCTTATAATTGATTAAGTTTGGATGTACAAACGCCTCCATTGTCGAGATCCATCCTGATATTTTCATGTAAGTTCTTGATTTTACCTTTTCCCATGTCAAGAGCAATGCATTTCTTACATAGTGGTTTTGAAAGTATTTGTGAATTTTGTTTTTCCCATATCACAGGAAAGCAAGCCATCCAAGTTGTAGGTCAGTGATGGCGAACCTTTTAGAGACCGAGTGCTCAAAACCTGGCCCTGCCCGTGTTTCACCCTCTGCTCCGACCCCACCCTGCCTGCCCGCAGAGCCACTCACCACCTCCAGGGCCCGCCGATCGCCCAGGCAGCCCAGCAGTGCCATGGCAGCCACGCCCTCTGCCCGCGCCCCGCAGCATCAACTGCGTGTGATGGGGTGTGAGGGCAGAGTCTTATCTACACTGCCTGGCTGCCATGTCCTTGGCTGTGCTGCTCCGCATGAGCCACACTCAGGGGCAACTCTCCTCCAGGGGGGCTGCTGGTGAGGGGGTCACGGGGGGAGGCAAGGCTGGGGCAATGGCACATGTGCCCACAGAGAGGGCTCCGAGTGCCGTCTCTGGCATGTGTGCCATAGGTTCGCCACCACTGTTGTAGGTCATGCCCTTCTAGGTATAATAGTATTTTATTTCTAAGAGTTATCCATTCTTTTAACCATGTTAGTGCGGCTGCTTGATAGTGAAAAACCCAGTCTGGTAGGCCAAAGGCTCCATTTTCTTTTGCTTCTTGTAACATTTTCAGTCTGATTCTAGCTTTTTTCCCTTGCCAGATAAATTTCAATATCGATGTATTTAATTCATCGAAAAAGTTTTTGTCAATTTTTATCGGTATTGCTTGAAATAAAGAGTGGTTTTGGTAAAATGTTCATTTTCGCCATCACTATTCTTCCCAGGATTAATAGTTGTAGATTTTTCCATTTTTCCAAATCTAGTTTTGTTTTAATAATTTTACATAATTGTCTTCTTTTATTGTTGCACATCTTGCTGTTAGATATATCTCGAAGTATTTAACTTTCTTAACTACTTGCAGGTCTGTTTTACTGATAATTGTTTTTTTTTGTTTATCTCTGAGATTTTTAACTATAACTTTAGTTTTTTCTCTATTAATTTTCAGTCCTGTTACTTCTCCAAATTCTTCAATCTTTGCTAATAATTTAGGACTTGTCTCTAACAGATCCTCCAATATAAATATCAGGTCATCTGCAAATGCTTGTAGTTTGTACTTTTCATCTTTTATTTCCATTCCTTTGATTTCTGGATCCTGTCTAACATTCCTGTTCAACACTTCCAAAGTTAAGATAAATAATAGTGGAGATAATGGACATCCTTGTCTTGTGCCCTTTTTAATATTGAAGCTCTCTGTGAAATCTCCATTCACAATTATTTTAGCCATTTGTCTATGATAAATTGTTTGGAATATATTAATAAAATTTTCTCCAAAATCCATATAGTTTAGTTGTTCAACCATAAATTGCTAATTGATATTGTCAAAGGCTTTCTGTGCATCTAAAAAAATCAAAGCCATTTGTTTCCCTGGGTGCATTTCGTAATACTCCAATGTGTCTAAAATTATTCTTAAATTGTTCTTTATTTGTCTCTTTGGTAAAAATACATTTTGGTCTGAATGTATAAATTCAATCAAGAATCTCTTTAGTCTTTCTGCTATTATTGAAGCAAAGATTTCATAGTCCACATTTAGTAGAGATATTGGTCTGTAGGTCTTTATCAGGGTCAAGTCTGTGTCCCCTTTGGTATTAGCGTAATATTGGCATCTATCCATGTATTTGGTAATTTGGCTTTAATTGGTAAAATTAAATTGGTAAAATTAATTGGTAAAATTAATGTATATTGTAAACATTTGTAAAATTCTGCTTGTAGCCCATCTGGGTCTGGTGTCTTATCATTTTTTTATCTGTTTATAGCTTCTGTCAACTCCATCACTGTTATTTTCCCATTTAGCATATTTTTGAAATTCTCTGAGATTTTTGATAACTTAACATTTTCTAAGTATTGCCTTATTTTTTCCTGAGGAATTTCTTCTATATTATAAAGTGTTTCATAAAATTCTTTAATTAATTTTTTTATTGCATCATTTTGACATTGTAAATCGCCTCTCACATCTTGTAGTTTGTTTATCAATTTCTTCTCTCTTTCTTTTTTCAGTTTATAAGCCAACCATCTCCCCGGCTTATTGGCATTTTCAAAAAAGTTTTGTTTTGCTCTTTTGATTTGTTGAGCCATTTCTTCAGCTTCTATTAGATTTATTTGTGTTTTATTATCTCCATTTGTTTTTTAAGAGTTTTCTTTTGTGGGTCTCTTCATAGTTCTAATTCTAATTTTGTAAGTTCTTCTATGAGTTTAGTTTGTAGTTTTTTGTCTTTCATCTTTTTCATCATATAGATTATGGCTACTCCTCTAAATATGCTTTTGTTGTATCCTAGACATTTTGGAGTGATGTATCTTCTTTCTTATTTTCTTTGAAGAAAAATTCCATTTCCTTTATGGCTTTTTGTATAAATTCTTTCTTTCAGTAAGAATTGGTTTAAAGTCCATTTTGCTTTTTTTCTTTGTTACTCTCTAAGTTATCTTTATCGGATTGTGGTCCACCCATATGTTAGTTTCTATCTTAATTTCTTAATTCAGGGGATACCCATATCATGTCAATTCTGTACCATGATTTGTGGCTGTTTGAATAAAATGTATATTGGGATTTCTTAGGATTTATTTCTTTCCATATATCCTGTATACAAATTTCTGCCATTATGAAAAAAGCCTTAAACAAAATATTCCTTCCTTTTCCCCCTATTTTACTACTCCTGTAATCTAACTTTCCATCTACAATTATGTTAAAATCTCCTATTAGACAAATACTTTGGTACTCTATTTCCAGTATTTTCTTGTGTAATCTTTGGTAGAATTCTTCTTGTTTGTTATTCGGTGTGTAAATTGCTACCATCAATGTCTGTTTGATTTATCATTATTTCTATCATTAGTATTCTTCCTTCTTCATCCAAGTAGATTTGTTTAGGATTCATTGTTTCTTTGATATATAGAGCTACTCCTCTTTTCTTTTGTTGTGTTAATGAAAAATAAAGTTTCCCAATTTTTGAGCACTCCAGAGATTTATAATATTGTCTTTTAATATGTGTTTCTTATAAGCAAACTATATCCATTTTTTATTTTTGTAATCGTGTAAAGAGTTTTTTCCTCTTTACAGGGGAATTTAATCCGTTTATATTTATTGAGAGTATCCCATTGTCCTTTTCCATCCTCTTCAATTATATTTAGGGTTTATTCTCCTAGTTGTTCTAGTTTGTCTCTGTTCTTTCCCTTTAGCCCCTTCTTCTTGATTTATAGTTTCTGTTTCTTTCACTTCTCTTTGTTTGTCCGCTTCTTCTAATGCTGTATCTTCCTGTTCTGTAAATTTCCCTTCTGGTTGAAGTTCTGAGTTTCTTTCTTTGAGAAATCTCTGTATCCGTCATAAAATTCCCTTGCTTTGAAGATAGAATCCAATCTGTATCTTTTTGTATCCCAATTGATTAGTATCCCTTCTGGCATCAGTCATCCCTTCTGGCATCAGGCATCAGCCCTTAAGACATGGTTGTTCCAGCTTGCGGGACTGGCCTAGGGGAAACTTTTAGAGGGGTTTTAATTATATTTTAACTAGATTAAATTTAAATATTTCCTTTTAATTAATTTTTAAATTGTAATGTTATTTATGTATTTTATCTGATTGTTAGCCGCCCTGAGTCCGCAAGGAGAAGGGCGGGATATAAATTTAATAAAATAAAATAAAATAAAGACCACTCCTTTCTTAATTAGTTTTTTGGTCAAAAATTGATATTCTCTTCATGAGTCCCTTATCCTCCTGGGTATCTGCTTCAGCACCACAATTTCTTTTCCCTTATATTGCAATGGATCATCTCTCACTCTTCTCAATATTTCATCTTATTGATTTTTTGACAAATCTGACATGGATCTCTCTGGGGACTTTGTTTCTTCTTGCATAGTTTGAGTTAACTCTAAATATTTGATCTATTTCTCCTTCCATTTCCTGCTTCCCCACTTCCAATGCACCAGCCAGTAGTTCTGTTGTCAGATCAGCAAGGTCCTCCTCCT